TTTCTTCTGGTCTTCTGGCAATTAGCAGCACAAAAAGCCCACCAGGTGTTGTCATTAGATGTCAAAGCTTGTGCGCATGTCTTGAAACTCATATAGCAAAAATAATGTTAAAGTTCCCTTAACCACTTTAAGCTTGTTTCATTATATGAATTACATCATTAATTTCCAAATGTAGTTAAAGAAAAAAGAGAATGTTGGATCACACGGGTATGCATGCCCATATCTCAGCCAAAATCAGACCAGCCCTTATGGTCCGTAATCGGACCTAATGTGGCTAAATGTGCCGTGTCTCAGTGCAAACCGGGCCAAATCCGCAGATCCAAAGCCTAGCCAAATCTGGCAACCATTACTGGGCCAGAACTGGCTCACTTTTGGTGAGCCGCTGCTAGAACACAGCCGAGTGAGCCAATGCTCAGCCACAATTGGCCCGATTGCGCTGGCTACCTGGGATCTCTTGATGTTAACAGTGCTACTGATACTTTCTGCTCCACTCTTACGTCTTGTTTAGACAGTGTCTGCCCCTTGTCTTCCAGGCCAGCTCGTACCACCTCTTCTGCCCCTTGGCTATATGATGTTCTCTGCGAGCATCGTTCTGAGCTCAGAGCTGCAGAAAGAGTATGGCGCAAATCACAAAATCCTACTGACCTTAATGTATATCGATCACTCCTCTCTTCATTCTCTGCTAATGTCTCCACTGCTAAAAGGACATACTATCACAACAAAATTAACAATTCGCCTAACTCTCTAACATTTTCCTCCCTTCTTTGTCCTCCTCCTCCCCCTCCTTCATCAGCTGTAACAGCTGACGACTTTGCCACATTCTTCATTTATAAAATTACAAACCTCAGTGCACAATTTGCCACACCACAAACTGTCAAACACATCTTACCAGCAAACATACACTCGTTTTCATCCTTCTCTCCACTCTCTGAGGCAGAATCTAAACTCAGAAGTCTCTAAACTCATCCTTTCCAATCATCCTACTACTTGTCCGCTTGATCCTACTCCAGCTCATCTCCTTCAAGCCATTTCTCCTGCAGTTGTACCTGCACTCACTCACATCGTTAACACATCCCTTCACACTGGTGTTTTTCCCTCAACATTTAAACAGGCTCGTATAACCCCACTTCTTAAGAAACCCACTCTTAACCCAACTCTTCTAGAGGACTACAGACTGATTTCCCTTTCACCTTTCATTGCAAAAACACTTGAACGAGCTGTGTTCAACCAAGTCTCAGCCTTTCTCACACAGAACAACCTCCTGGACAGCAACCAATCTGGCTTCAGAAGTGGACATTCGACCGAGACTGCCTTGCTTTCAGTTGTTGAAGCCCTAAGACTGGCAAGAGCGGCTTCAAAATCTTCTCTTGCTGGATGCTTTTGATATGGTGAACCACCAGATTCTCCTGTCAGCCCTATTGGAAAATGGCATCTCTGGCATCTCAGCTGATGACACTCAACTCTACCTCTGATTCCATGGTCACATCTCAGCATGTCTAACAGACATTTCTTGTTGGATGACGGACCATCACCTTCAACTCAACCTGGCTAAGACAGAACTGCTTGTGGTTTCAACAAACCCATCACTTTATCAAAATTTCACCATCCAGTTAGGCTCATCAACCATAACTCCTTCAAAAACAGCTAGAAACCTTGGAGTTGTGATTGATGATAAGCTGAATTTCTCAGACCACAATGCTAAAACTGGGGTCCTGCAGATTTGCTTTATACAACATTAGAAAGATCATCCCAGCAATCCTTCAATATGTCCTTTACTGGATGTAATTCTGAATGCCCTTTTACATTTATCCAATAATTCATAGTTAATTTCAATTTTCGTAAACTTATAGGCATTTCTCCCACCTCCACTTGTATGGCTGATATTGGAGAAGATCTGAAAGCTCCACTACATATTCTTAAAGATTGTGCCTGAACAGTTTCTACTTTTTTAATCAAGGATTTAGAAGCAGATCCATAAATTATGCATCCATAATCAATTGCTGACCTAATCAGTGCACTATATATTCTTAGTAAAGATTTCCTACTAGCTCCCCATTCTATTCCTGTTAAACATCGTAGTATATTATTACTTTTTTTGCACTTATCTACCAACTTCTGAATATGTATCTTAAAGGTCAACCTGGAATCCATCCATATTCCTAGATATCTTATATCTTTAACTTGTTCAAGTACTTGTCCATATAACTTCACTTTTATTTCAGGGATATGATTCCTCTTCGCAAAACAGACTAGTTGAGTTTTAGTCACCGATAGTCGAAAACTCCATTTGTTAGCCCATTTTTCCACTTCATTAACCGCTGATTGTATAACTCTTGTCACGTGAGATACATTACGACCCCTTTTCCATATCGCTCCATCGTCAGCATAGAGAGATCTTCCTATATCTATTTTGACATTTTGGAACACATCATTTATCATGATATTAAACAATACTGGACTGCACACACTTCCTTGTGGAGTACCATTATCTATTTTATATATCCTGGAATATGAAGCCCCAACCCTTACCTGAACAGTTCTATTAAGTAAAAAATCTTTAATCCAGTTAAACATTCTGCCTTCAATTCCTAATTGTTCAAACTTTATTAACAGCCCCTCCTTCCAAAGCATGTCGTATGCTTTTTCAATGTCAAAAAAGATGCCTACTACCACCTCTTTATTAACTTGAGCCTTTCTTATGTCTGTTTCTAAACTAAGAACAGCATCTAATGTACTTCGTCCTTTACGGAATCCACTCTGATGTGGTGAAATAATTTCTTTCCTTTCTAACATATAGTTTAATCTACACACAATCATACGTTCCATTAATTTACACAAATTTGACGTTAATGCTATAGGTCTATAACTGTCAGCATTATGCTTGTTCTTGGCTGGCTTTAATATAGGAATAATAACCCCGTGTTTCCATGAAGAAGGAAGTCTCCCTGATCTCCACACTTTATTAAAAAGACGCAATAAAAAGTTCAGAGAAAAATCAGATAAATTTTTGATCATCATATAACATATCTCATCCTTTCCTGGTGAAGTTTTTTTAACTCTTCTAACAGCTCTCTTTAATTCATTTAGTGAGAATTCCACATCAAGATGTTCATTAGAAGGCCGTTTCTCCATCCTAATATTTGGATGTTCCTTTATACCTTGTTCTCTATTTATTTTCATTTCTTCTGATATATTATTATTGCTATATGTACTTTAACAAACCATACTGGGAGCTTCTTCTTCTGAGGTTTGATTATGGGTTGGCAAACAGCTTCATGGTGCATTGCCACCAGCAGTTGAATGGAGTGTGGAGCACCAATGCAAAAATAAAATAAAATAAAATAAAACAATGTAAATATGTAATTATCTTTGCTATTGATTATTTTGATTCCACACACGTGACATTAAGGAATTCTCTAATGTGTAACCTCTTGTTTTTAGCCAACAGATTTTTTTATAGTTACTTTTAAATCATATTATTTCTTTTAGTTTTTATTTGCTTTCAATTTTGACTGTAATATTTGTGTTTCGCTGTTATTCTGCGCAGTCCAATAAGTGTGA